TGAATTGTCTTGGGCCACACATTAAATACATAAACACTAACAAAAACTGATGAGCAAAAAAAAAAAAAAGAAAGGTCCTTGCATAATTTTCATGATACCTGACATCACAAATAAACAGAACAGTCCTTAAATCTGCATACAGCCTGTTGGACACCTCTTCTAGGCCAAAGAACCATTTTGGTTCACGTGAAAGTAACTGGAGAAATTTTAAACTACAGATTCATTCCTAAGTCCCTCTCCAAAGACCCTCAAGGGCTGGAGTGCAGCTCGGCACTCTGGTATAGGCAAGATTCCATGGTGATTTATTTATACGCTCACCATTGTGTGAGAACTGGTCTTTTGTCATTAGTTTTCACTTCCCCAGATATGCTGTGTTCCAGATCTGCCTTCCTAAGATTATATACCCTCCTTACTGTGGTTGTGGATGTTGGGAAACTCTTCAGTCACACTTTTCCAAAAGTCAGCCTGTGGTCAGTCTCATCCATTGGGTAATGATTATATTTCTGGATGGCAACCTTATTTTTTAAGTTTTTGGAAGGTGCATCACTCCCACACACCCCACCAGAGCATGTTTCACACATAAACACTCTTGTCATTTGATTCCCACTTGGTTCTCTCGGTAATCCCCATGGAGAAGATAGCGTAGCTTATTTTAGCATAAGCAAACTGACTCAGAAGGACCCAGTAACTAACCTTGACTCAGCAAGCTGGTAGTATTGTCAAAAATACTATGTCAAAAAGACTGTATCTCCATACTCGTACTCCACTTCACCTACAGGGAGCAGAGTCCTAGATCTAGGAAGCAGCTGGTCCATCCAGCTCCAAGCCCAGGATGTGGAGGTCTGCTACCCAACACTGGGATGGATCTTGAAGAAGCAGACTGGGCAACAAGGAGAAGATTGTAGAAGTGGGAACTTCTGTGCTAAAAGAAGTGGCTGGACTCTGTGGGCCCTGTGGGAGAAACTTCCAATGCTTATAAAGTAATAACAGCCCTTTACGTGTATCCTACACCCCACTGATCAGAATCAAAGAGCCCCATGAGTGAAGAGTGAGCCAAGCTCACTGCTTAATTTTCCACTTATTTTTGTCGTTGTTCTTTTTCATTTTTCTTTAGACTCTTCTCCCCTCACAACTAAGCAGCAGAGCCCACTCCTCTTCACCCAAAAGTCCAGCAACTACTGGTTTCTACTGCTGCTCACAATACAGCAACACATACAATAAAAAAAGCATATGGGAATCACACAGTTCTCATAGGAATTATCCCAGGTTTATTGTTCCTAATTCATTTCTTGTGGTAGTAAGATGTTTTTCCTCTTTAACAGAGCACAGTTCCCTATTGAATTCTTTTTCTAGTTTTGCAGTTCATGATAAAACCTGAACTCCATAGCATGGCATAGAGGGCTGCCTCTCTGTTATTGGCACTTGTTGCTCTTCAGCCTCCCTAAAACAGTCCTTCAGGGTCTCAGATGTCACCCCTTGCAGGAAAACATCTTTGGTTGACCTGGTATCCCTCATCTGCTTGCCCTTGGTTATGCTCTACCCTGCTATGTCCTGTTTGCTTGTCTTTTTTACCTGTAGATGGTTGAGCTCTGTGAGTCTCTCTCACTGTTGTGGACCCAGTTTTGGACCCAATGACTATTCCTTTTCTTTTCTTTTTTTTTTTTTTTTTTTGAGACTTGCACTGGAATAGAGATCTCACTGGTTCCCACCTAATGGCAGCAATTCTAGCCCCTCAATGGCTGTGGGTTTTTTGGAGTTTTTTTGTCAAGACAGAGTTCTACCCTGTGGCAACCTCAGACTCGGCCTGTGTGCGTCCTGCTGCCTCAGCCTTCAAAGCTGCTGGGATTACAGGAGTTTGCTGCAGAGCCCAGCTGGGTTTTTCAATTTTTTTTTCATGAGTTGTGGGTCTCTCATAAGCCTCGAACTCCTGAGCTCAAGCAATCCTCCCACCTCAGCCTTCCACAGTGCTGAGATTAAAGGCATGAGCCACTGGGCCTGGCTCAATGACTGTTTCTTAAAGAACTTAAGGACAGTCAGGACCTAATCATGCTTTCCTAGTCATTGTTCATTTCACATGACTGAGTTTTTAATAGTTTTACTAAGTTTATGAGATGTAATTTGTGTACCTTAAAACTCATCCATTCTAAGTGTCCAATGACTTAGTAAATGTGCAGAATTGTACATTTACCACCATCCCATCTTAAAATACTTTCGTCACTCAGTTAATCCCCCTTTCATTTAATACCCCTGTTCACCCCCATCCTCAGACAACCACTATTTTACTTTTTCTCTATAGATCTTCTTACACTGGACATTTCAGTGGAGTCAATGAAATCACACAATATGTAGTCTTTGTGTCTGGCTTCCTACTTTAAAATAATTGAGGGTCATTAATGTAGTAGATGTGTCAATAGTTTTTTTCCTGTTATTTTTGAATTGTATTCCACTGTGTGAATATACCACTTTGGAGGGGGGGGAGGAGGCAGAATTTCACTCTCTTGTTCAGGCTACAGTGCCATGTCATCATCTTGGCTCATAGCAACCCCAAACTCCTGGTTTCCAGCAGTCCTCCTGCCTCAGCCTCCTGAGTAGCTGGGACTACAGGCGCCCACCAACACACCTGGATAATTTTTCTATTTTTAATAGAGATGGTCTTGCTCTTACTCAGACTAGTCTTGAACTCCTGAGCTCAAGCCTCTCAGAGTCCTAGGATTACAGCTGTGAGCCACCACATCCAGCTGAATATACCACACTTTGTTTATCCATTCACCAATTGATGAATGTTTACATTATTTTTAGTTTGGGGCCATTATGAGTAATACTGCTGTGAACATCTATGTATAAGTCTTGGTAGACATATATTTTCATTCTTTGGTAAATTCCCGGGAGTGGAATTGCTGGGTTAGCATAGTAAGTTTACTTAAGAAACTGCCAAGCTTTTCCAAAGCATTTACATTTCCACCAGTAATGGATGAAGGTTCAAGTTTCTCCACATCCTTGCCAACCAGCACTTGGACTCATTTCTCTTTTTTTATCATAACCATTCTGGTGGATACATCTCATTTTGGTTTGGATTTGGTTTTAATTTAATTTAATATAAACTTAATTTTCTCAACTAATGATTTTAAACATCTTTTTGTGTGATTGTTAGCCATTTGTATATCTTTAGTGAAATATTCAAATTTTTCACATTTTCTTTCTTTCTTTTTTTTTTTTTTTTTTG